GTAACATGGAAAGAGTTGAAAGGCAAGAGAATCAGGTTCCCCATAGAAATGAGTCTCATGTTTCTTTTTTGACACAGACAGTCTCATGCATTTGTGACAGTCACATAACCAACAGTGTTTTCACACAATATTATTCTCCATTTTCACGACAAAATTCTAAGTGAAATGGATAGAACTTTCCATGTTACGCACCATAAATTTTATATTTAGAATATTTATAAGCATGAAGCAGGTGCGGTCCATCTATGATATAATTTTATATATATATTATATATAGACACGTGTATTTTTCACTTAGAGTTTAGTAAGACTTATATAAGTGATATTGTTGGGATACAAACAAGTCTCGCATTCATAAATAATTTAACAATTCTTTATCACTTTATGTATATTTAGAACTTAAATGTCTCTTGTTTGAATCATTCTAATTTAATTATTATGGGCATTTGATATTGGCATAGTTGTAGGATTGTGCACTCGTATGTATTTTTAAATGGAGTTAATTAATTAATTTTAAAATTAATATAAATAGATATTATTTAAGGTATTATACATTTAAAAATAAAATATTATAAATTATTTTCAAAATGACTATTAACTTCTAAAAAGTTTTATATCAAATAAGTTATATAAAGATTAATAACATTCATTTTTGTAACTTTAATATTTTAAAAAATAATTAATTTTATAAAATTAAATAATTTCTATAATTTTTTTACCACTTTATTTTTGTATCACATTATTTTTTAATTGTGAGTGGTAAAAATATTATAGAACTATTAATGACAAATACTGGATTAGAGTTCGATGGCCTCCAACCAACTTTAATATTTAAATTTTAAATTAAATGTTGAAATTTCATTCTCATATCAAATTTATTAATTGAAGCATAATGTAAAAAACAAATGGGAGATACATGTATTAATATAAGATTGGAAGAAGATAAATTAGTAAATTAATTTTAAATTTTGATAGGAAAAATAATTACAAAGCTGAGATATTAGTGATACTCATTGCTTAATAAATAGATAATCTGTTCACCCATTTAGCTGAACTATTATAATCAACTGATAAAAAAAAATTTATGGTTTTCTCGTAAAAAAAAATGAATGTAATTTTTTTTAATACAGTAGTAGGGACAAAAAAGTTTTTTTTTAGTTTTTTTTACACTTAAAGCTTAAGAGCTCATGCTATTATACAAATTAATTAAACTCTCAATCATTAGACCCACTACAGTGAATTGGTTAAAAAATAAAATAAAAATTGTAGCGTCAACAAAGAAAGAAAGGCAGTTGTATTGTTGTATAACGTGTGAATCGTTATACAGTATTATTCTTTGGGCTTATGTTTTTTGGTAGATATATTTTTGCTACATATTCTTTGGGCTTATGTTTTTTGGTACATATATTTTTGCTACATATTCTTTGGGCTTCGATCTATGATTCTAAATCCACTTTTTTCTTCCTCGCTAACTAACTAACTAACTAAATAATAATAATAATAATAATAATAATAATAGAATTTCCAACCCTCCTTTTCATTCTTCATTTTCTTTTTGCCTAGTAGCGGAGAATTTTTAATAGTTTGTATAGGGCGTTAAATTTAAATATGATTATATATATACGTGGAAGGTTCAAACGACACCGGTATAATTTTTACTAAGTGTTACATCGCTCAAGAACTTTAAATTAAATTTGAATTTTGTAAATCTAACCATTAGACACATATATATATATGTGTGTGTGTGTGTTTAGAGGAGGGTTCAAACGACACCAGTGTAACTTTTACTAAGTGTTACACCGCTCAATAACTTTATATTAAATGTGAATTTTGTAAATCCAACCGTTAGATTGAAAGTTCATATCTCTTAGATCATATATATCAAATTTTATATTAATCTAAGATGATTTGATACTTCATTCTCATAAAACAAAATTGACGTAATATATACATTTCAAAATATACTAAAATATGAACGCTTTGATTACCTTCAAGTTGTTGTTCAATTTTAACAAAATTTGATATATATGATCTAAGAGATATGAACTTTCAATCTAACGGTTGGATTTTCAAAATTCACATTTAATATGAAGTTATTGAGCGGTGTAACACTTAGTAAAAGTTACACCGGTGTCGTTTGAACCCTCCTCGTGTGTTTAATGTAGGAGTAAGTCTATCTAAATTTACCCTGTTTAATAATTCACGTTCTTCATTAAAGTTTAACAATCTAACCATTGAATTTAAAGTTCTTAATGCATAGATAAAATCTGTAAATTTTTAAAAATTTGAAAATCATTTGATACTTCTTTTCATTAATTCAAATCAACGTATAAAATATTTTTATAATTATTTATTAATTTGAATTAATGAAATCAAGTATCAAATGGTTTTCAAATTTTTTTAAAATTTGTAAACTTAATCTATGCATTAAAAACTTTAAATTCAACAATTAGATCATTAAAATTTGATATAAAGCATGAATTATTAAATGAAATGAGTTTGAATAAACTTACTTTTGGAATAAACGAATCTTTACTCATATACATACATACATATATATATATATATATATATATAAGATAGAGCAACACACAAAAAACTTGCAAAATATAAATATTTACAATAAAAAATAGTATTTTGAAATTCTATCATAGTCTGTAAAGTTAACTTTTAAAATAGTACCAAAAGGCATTTTAAAATAAAGTGAAATCAAATCATAGATGACAAGACAAATTTCTAATTTTGAATAAACACACTAAATTAATTTTCTAAATTAATTAATTAGAGATATTAACCTTTTAGAATATCCAATAAAATGTAAAACATATAAAAAATAGAGAGAACTAATATCTCTTTTGTAAGTTGTCAACTTAAACAAAATTATGGTTCATAAAAATACTTGTGGTTAAAAAAATCTTAAATTTTGATATATTTTATTAGAGATAATGTTATTCAAGTTATAATATTATTTCAATTAGGACCACAATAGGTTAAACCAAATTTTTTTTTTTATTGATTTATCTACATGCTTATTAATAAAGAAACTTAAATAAAATTTGTGAAAATTGTTAATTAGTAACACTATATTTGGTAAGTCTAACAATTCGACAAATCATTACAATTATTATAGTTTAATTACTACGCAATAAAATTAGCAAACAAATTTTAACTACCTTAGGATTCTCTCATGCAACAATTACCCGATTATTCATGCAATTTATACATGTATAGGACAACAAATACAACACTAAAAATATAAAATTCCCTTATGGGATCAGATACACACCTTGTACACATATATAATCTACATGAATTACATAACTGTATAGAAAAGATCCCTAATTATTGGTCAAGTGTGTATACAACCATTAAATCACATTAGAGTGACATCTCCAAAATAGAGTTATCAACTGCATGACCCTCCACCAGCTGAACAAGTTATCCAACTAACCTTGTCCTATTCCATACAAAATATGACATTACAATTTCAATCACAAATAAAAGAAAGAGTAAACTTGTGAAAAGAATCAACATAGTATTCACAACAAACAACTTTAAACAATACAACATAGGCAACTTCATCAATATTCAATGCAACTCAACATTCACAACTTTCAACTTGTTAACAACATCATCATACAAACAACTCGGCAACTTACAATACAACAACTTAACAACTTTAGCATATAATTGTACATATATATATTAACGATAATCAATAATGAGCACTAATATGTCATCATGCATATCAATTAAGGAAATCTTTTACAATAGAGATGAGCAGTTTAAATGGTTAGACCTATTGAACCACAACGCCTGACCTATCATAATCAAGTCAAGTAACATTAGGCTTCTTAGAGTGTCTAGTATACAACATAAATTGATTTCTCAAGTTTTACACTTAAATTAGGAATTTTAGTATTATTGTTAAGGTAGAATAGTTTGGGTATAAGCTTACCATGACATTATCTTGCAACACTGTCTTATATGAGATTAGCCTACATACTACTTTCCAAATACTATTTTTTTAGTACTCAGTTAGGGACTAAGCTCCCAACTTTGTACCTTACTCAGTTGGTCATTTTAACTACAATATGGATTGACCACACCTCCATATTGTTCCACATAAATCCTAAAGGGAACAGCTTAAACAACATATTTCCTCTAATCTTTATGTATCTCAACTAAAACATGTATCTTCACCACATGCCTAACAACTTAATCAAATTATAACATCATACAACTTTGTAACTTAATCATCTATCAGCTTACATCTTTGCAACCTAAACATCATTATACATTATATCAATTGAATACATATTGAGTTATATTCATACAACATTTATCATATAATTTAGTCATCATTCTTCAACTATAAATCAACTTAAAACATTACATTTTATCAAACAACTCATGCCCGACACTATTCCCAATGTGCCTAACACTATTAAGACATGGGCCTTCTATCTCGTTCACGCCTAACATCAATACATTTGCACCCAA